GTCACAAATTAGATGAACAAATGCGGACTATGATAAGAGAAATGAAGGAAAATGCACAGGGAACCAATAGTGATGGGAAGGAAACTGGGACTCAAATCAATTGAGTGGACCAGAAGGAAGGAAAAAACATACAATCAGAAAAGAATGAAGAAACAAGAATTCAAAAAAATGAGAAGCTTAGGAACCTCCAGGACATCTTTAAACATTCCAACATCTGAATTATAGGGATACCAGAAAGAGAAGAGGAAGAGTCAGAAATTGAAAACTTATTTGAACAAATAATGAAGGAGAACTTCCCCAATCTGGCAAAGGAAATAGACTTCCAGGAAGTCCAGGAAACTCAGAGAGTCCCAAAGAAGTTGGACCCAAGGAAGCACACACCAAGGCACATCATAATTACATTACCCAAGATGAAAGATAAGGAGAGAATCTTAAAAGCAGCAACAGAAAAGGAGACAGTAACCTACAAAGGAGTTCCCATCAGACTGTCAGCTGATTTCTCAAAAGAGACCTTACAGGCAAGAAGGGGCTGGAAACAAATATTCCAAGTCATGAAAGTCAAGGACCTACATCCAAGATTGCTCTATCCAGCAAAGCTTTCATTTAGAATGGAAGGGCAGATAAAATGCTTCTCAGATAAGGTCAAATTAAAGGAGTTCATCATCACCAAGCCCTTATTATATGAAATGTTAAAGGAACTTATCTGAGAGAAGAAGATAAAAAAACATGTATAGTAAAATGACAGCAAATTCACAATTATTAACAACCACACCTAAAACAAAACCAAAAGAAAATAAGCAAACAACTAGAACAGGAACAGAACCACAGAAAGGGAGATCACATGGAGGGTTAGCAACAGGGGAGTGGGAGGAGGAGAGAATAGGAAAGGGTACAGAAAATAAGTAGCACAGATGGTAGGTAGAAAATAGACAGGAGGGAGGCAAGAATGGTATGGAAAATGTAGAAGCTAAAGAGCTTATGACACATTGACATGAACTAAAGGGGGGAATGTGGGTGGGACAGGGTGTACAGGGTGGAGAGGAGTGAAGGGGGAAATGGGACAACTGTAAAAGCACAATTAATAAAATATATTTTAAAATGTAAAAAAAAATAAAAGAAGTGTTTTTCAAAAATAATTATTTTATTTACTAATTTTTATTCTGTTCTTTTCTAGTCATTCCATTCTGTTTCATTCAGGTAAATTCTGTTCTATTTCATTTAAAAATAAATGCTAGTTACAACTGCCTACACTTTTGTGCCCAATAATGTGTTGCACAGCATCCATGGGCTCTGGATCCAGGCTATCTAGATTTTAGTCCTGGGTTTTTCAATTATTAGTAAGATCACCTTAGATAAGTTATTTGACTGTTCACTTGGAACAGCATCTGACACAATATATACTAGCTACAGTTATCAATGTGAAGTAAAAGTGTGCAGTCAGCATTAGCAAAAGCTGCTATTGTCAGGGACAAAGATAGCAAAGGAGGATGCTCTCTGTGATATGGCAGAAAGGACAGGGATCAGCTGCACCACTTCCCACCTACTGGGGTGTGTGTGGTGTGTGAGAGAATGGCAGCCAGAACACACAGATCCTGAGGGGAAGCAATGGCCTCAGGAGCAATCAGGAATGAGAGGAACACTCTGCCTGCTCACACCAGAGCAGAGCTTCCAGAAGGCAAAGATTTTGGAGAAAAAGGAGACTTCTTTGTCAAAATGGAATGATTCCTTTTCTTTTTTTGGTGCAAAAGTGATGATTTATTTTAAAATAGAAAAAGAAATCACAACATATTACAAAACTTTAAAAGCTATACTATATTAAATTATGGTAAAGAATATAAAATCTCCAAAAAGAAAATGCTATTTTTATTAATTAACTACCCGATAAACTTTTTCCCCTTAACCTTTTCCTGGTCTCATACTCTTTGGCTTCTTCAAAATATGGTTTTGTAATAATTTCTACAAAAGGAATTGCTGTTCAGAAACACAGGACCATTGCACATATTCACACAATGCAGAGAAAATGAGGAACCCTATAACCTCAACTTCCAGAAACCACTATTAAAACAATGGCTCATTCTTTGGAGATATTTTATGCATCTATAGATAACTATATGCATATATTTGTGTGCATAAATACATACATACATATATATGCATGGTTAATACAGGAAATACTTTATTTCTTTCACTGAATATTTTGTGAACATTTTCACTATCAATATATGAAGAAGGACTTACCTTTCTAATGGATGAGCAGGCATGTAGCACAATAGTCACTGGGACATTGTGAATGCCCACAATATATTAATTCACCCTGATGAACTGATACTTTGGTTATTCCTTTTGTTGTTGTTATAAACAATGTTGCAATGAGATATTCTTGTGCATTTATCTCTTTTCATTTGACCTATTAGTTTCCTAGGACAAATTCCTGGAGTAATTTAGGATAAACTGCTGAGTCAAAAGGTATGGGTATTTAAATTTAAAACCATATTGCCAGATTGCTCTCCAAAAAGGTTGTGGTATTTGTTTTCCTTAACAATTTATGAGAGTGCTTCTTTTCTCACATTACTGAACACTACTCATCTTTTTAAGGCTTTGCCAATATCCCATATATAAATGATCTTGCATTTTTAAGTTGCATTTTTATTAGTACCTTCCCACATGCTGATAGGATATCTATGTGTCTTCTGTGACTTGCATGATTTTCTATTTGGAGCTTGCTTATCCTTGTGTCCTTGTGTTATGACTTATAAGGGTCCTCAGGTAGTCACACTAGTCACCTGTTGTTAGTCCTATGTGTGGTGATTACTTTTTTCTTCAGTTTCCAACTTTTCCTTCAAAAAGATTTATGGAGTGTTTTTTTGGCATAAGAGTTTATTTTTTAGAGGTAAACTATACATTTTCCCTTAGGTTCCAAAGAAGGCACTTTTTAGCTTAGAATTGGAACCACTATGAACTAATCTCTATGACTGGGAACTTATAAATCACTTTGAGTTTATCAACCTCACAATTTATATCCTTTAGTTTTGCCCTCAAGACATCTGATCAGTTTGTGTGTTATGGCAAATAGTACCTCACAAAGGAGAAACATAGGAAATTGCACTTATGAGATTTTCATTTAAAAAGCACCCAGAAACATATGAAAGGATGCTCAGCATCACTAGCTATCAGGTAGATGCAGATTAAAACCACAATGTCATATCACCTCACACAGGTCAGAATGGCTATCATAAACAAATCAACAAACAACAAGTGCTGGAGAGGTTCTGGAGAAAAGGAAACCCCAGTACATTGTTGGTGGGAATGCAGACTGGTACAGCCACTGTGAAAAACAGTATGGAATTTCCTCAGAAAACTAAAAATGGAGGTGTTTTTTTGACCTGGGAATCCTACTGCTGGGATTATACCCCAAGAACCCTGAAACATCAATTCAAAAGAACCTATGTACCCCAATGTTCATAGCAGCACAATTTACAATAACCAAGTTCTGGAAGCAAACTAAGTGCTCATCAGCAAATGAGTGAATCAAAAAACTATGGTACATTTACACAATGGAATTCTATGCAGCAGAAAGAAAGAAGGAGCTTCTACCCTTCGTGACAACAGGGATGGAACTGGAGAGCATTATGATAAGTCAGGGGTGTCAAACTTATTTTCACCAGGGGCCATATCAGCCCGGTGGTTGCCTTTAAAGGGCCAAATGAAATTTTAGGACTGTATAAATGTAACTACTCCTTAACAGTTAAGTGAGAGCTCAGCACAGCCACTGGGTAGAAACAAGGTGCCAGGCTGAATAAAGCAAGGTGGAAGGCCAGCGGGCCTTGTGTTTGCCACCTGTATGCTAAGTGAAATAAGCCAGGCAATGAAAGACAAATACCATATGATCTCACCTATAAGTGGAACCTAATCAACAAAACAAGCAAGCAAGAAAAATAGAACCAGAGACATTGAAACAAACAACAAACAGACAGTGACCAGAGGGGAAGGTGGGGATAACAGGGGAAAGAAGGGGAAGGGTCATCAAGGAACATGTATAAAGGACCCATGGAGAAAGCCAAATGTGGGTAGGATTGAGGGTGAGGCAAGGGAAAGTGGTGGTAGGGAAAAGGAGACAACTGTAAGTGAACAACAATAAAAAAATTAAGGGGGGGAAAAGAAAAAGAGAAGTAAACTCTTCAAAGCTCAGTTTGAGGCAGCAAAGTCAGGTCCCAGCATCCTGTTGAATGAGTGTCGCCTGGTCCCATGCAATCCCACGAGGAGCATCCAGGGGCAGCCAGGTCGGCATCCTATTCCACTGTGTGAAAAGGGGCCTCTTTTATCACATTCCCCATTTAGTGAGGGGAGGTTCCACTTGGAAACAACCTTTATTCTACTTCTAGTTTAGGCCAGATCTCACACTTGATCTGGAAATTCTTCAACTATGTTCCCATTCCTGCCTTAAAAGCTCTCTCTGTATGGTGGCTTAATAGATTATTTGGGTTGTATTAATAGCCACATGAAGTCCAGAACTTGGTGATCACATTGAGAATCAAAAAGCTTCTTAAAACTTGGGGTAAAAACAAGGCCTCAACATTAGAGCATATGAATGAGACTTTCCAGTATAATTATACCCTCTGAAAAGTAAATATAACTGAGTGAATTATACCCTCTGAAATTATACCCTCTAAAAAGCAAATATAACCTGCTACCAAAATCTGTACAGGTAGTAGCCCAGAAAACAAATGACTTGAGAAAGGTTCTGGCCTGAACCTCTGAATTTTGAAAATATGGGCTCATTATAAACAATTCCTCCTGAAAAACTCAACTGGGGAGTATTATCTTTAATAGACAAACTTTAGATGTAAAAGGTATTAATTGCTTATAAAGGCAGAGTCTGCCACACCCGTACCAAACAGAGCCACAGACAGTAGCACCAACCTGTTGTTCAGACCTTCAGAGCCACCAGGGAAACAGGAACCCACTGAGATAGCATTCTGCCATAGGTTTCCTTCACTCACCTCAGGAAATTTCTTTTTCTGTACATATTCTGTGGTGGAAGCATCAAAATACTTGGCATAGCCTTCATTGAGGCTGTAAATCTTTCCTTTCTTTTTAATTTTGACCTCTTTTTCCACCAGAATGAACTCACCAAGAGCCTAAAAGTTGAACAAAAATATGAGTAAGAAGAGAGATGCTAGAAGCCAACAGCACACTCCCCAACACTTAGAAAACATTCAAATATGTGGGCATCCTGGAAGGACCCAAAGCATTGCCAGGTCCTCCAGAAGCCTGCCAGTGATATTTTTATGAGTTGTATAAAGAGCAGTGACAATACTGAGTCACCTATACTACTAATTTATAAGGAACCTAGCTGCATTGATCCCCCAAGTTATCACCCTCAGTTAATCCTAATATTTTCAGAAACACCTGGGCCATCAGCAGTGAGAGGAAGAAGTTATACAGGTAAGATTGATCATAAATGTATGGATACAGTTCAACCACTATTTTGTGGTCCAGTTATTATATCATAATGATTTAATTTTGGAAGCCATTAAAAGTTCCTAGTATCACAGTGACTCTTTTTTTTAACATATTTTACTGATTATGCTATTACAGTTGCTCCATTTCCCCCCCTTTATTCTCCTCTGTCCTGCACACCCCCTCCCATGCACATTCTCCCCCTTTAGTTCATGTCCAGGGGTCATACATATAAGTTCCTTCACTTCTATATTTCCTACACTATTCTTAACCTTCCCTGTCTATTTTCTGCCTGCCATTTATGTTACTTAGTCCCTGTACCTTTTCCCTCTCTATGTTCCTCCCACACCCCTGCTGATAACCCTCCATGTGATCTCCATTTCTATGGTTCTGTTCCTGTTGTAGTTGTTTGCTTAGTTCATTTTTGTTTTTGTTTTCTTTTTTAGGTTCAGTTGTTGATAGTTGTGAGCTTGTTGTCATTTCACTGTCCATATTTTTTATCTTCTTTTTCTCAGGTAAGTTCCTTTAACGTTTCATAAAATAAGGGCTTGGTGATGATGAACTCCTTGAACTTGACCTTATCTGAGAAGAACTTTATCTGCCCTTCCATTCTAAATGAAAGCTTTACTGGATAGAACAATCCTGGATGTAGCATGACTTGGAAAACTTCTTTGCAACCCCTTCTTGCCTGTAAGGTTTCTTATGAGAAATCAGCTGACAGTTTTATGGGAACTCCTTTGTAGGTAACTGTCTCCTTTTCTCTTGCTGCTTTTAAGATTCTCTCCTTATCTTTCATCTTGGGTAATGTAATTATGATGTGCCTTGGTGTGTGCTTCCTTGGGTCCAACTCCTTTGGAACTCTAAGCTTCCTGGACTTCCTGGAAGTCTATTTCCTTTGCCAGATTGGGGAAGTTCTCCTTCATTATTTGTTCAAATAAGTTTTCCATTTCTTGCTCTTCCTCTTCTCCTCCTGGCATTACTATGATTCAGATGTTGGAATATTTAAAGTTGTCCTGGAGGTTCCTCAGCCCCTCCTCATTTTTTGTTTGTTTGTTTGTTTGTTTGTTTTGAATTCTTGCTTCTTCATTCTGTTCTGGTTGAATTTCTTTCTTCTGCTCCAAACCATTGATTTGAGTCCTGGTTGCCTTCCCTTCACTGTTGGTTCCCTGTACATTTTCCTTTCTTTCACTTTTCATAGCCTTCATTTTTTCCTCTATTTTGTGACCATGCTCAACAAATTCTGTGAGCTTCCTGATTGTCAGTGTTTTGAAATGTGCATCTGATAGGTTGGCTATCTCCTCATTGCTTAGCTGTAATTTTTTCTGGAACTTTGATGTGTTCTTTCATTGAGGCATTTTTTTTTGTCTTGGTGCACCTGTCAGGTAGTAAGAGGTAGAGCCTTAGGTGTTCACCAGGGCAGGGCAACTCAAGTTGCTGTGCTTGACACTTTCAGTGGGGGAGGGTCCTAAGAGGGAAAAGTACCACTTGCTCTGCTCTCTGCTGGCTTTCAGTCATTTCTGGGGCTACCCACAAGCAAATTGGGCCTTTCTGGTGCTGTTTCCTGGGTGGGTAAGTTTGTGTACATGCTAGGACCCTATGGGTCTCTCCAGCGAACTCTCCTGTGAGTCTGGAGATTTATCCCAATGCCACAACCCTCCCAAGTTTTTTTCAGTCAGAACTTTTGAGGCTTTATTTTCCCTCACTGGAACCCTGGATTGTGCAGTCTGTTTCGCTCCCCAGTTGTTCCTCCCAGTTTATCAGCATGCAAATGTGGGACCACCCACTCCACCAGCCACCACCTTGCCACAAATCTCCACACCAGCTTCCCACCCCCACCCCTCCTATTGGTCTGGATGAGTTTTCCTTCTTTAACTCCTTGGTTGTCAGACTTCCACACAGTTTGATTTTCTTTCAGTTCTGGTTGTTTTTTATTTTTAAATTTGTTGTTGTCCTTTTTGGTTGTGCAAGGAGTCACAGTGTGTCTACCTATGCCTCCATCTTAGCTGGAAATCCCCAGTGACTGGTAGATGAGGTAAAGAGGAAATCCCTTCAAACAGAAACTACATACACTTGGCATAAGGAATAGTTGATAAAAATTGAAGAAATCCTCAGAAGTATAAACAAAATCATGCCCAGTTCCCGTATAGTCATCATGGTCACTATCAGTTGGATGGTCCCTGTGGATGTGATTAGCTAGCTGTACATATCATCTAAAAGACTGGCTATCTCCCTCAGTCACTAAAGGGGAAACCAGGTCCTAAAAATCTAATCAATTTTGATAAATTTTGAAGACTAAGAAAGTGAAAATCCCCCAAGATGACAGCTCACAGCTGGCAGCTAGACTAGAAGGTTCCTAATGAACCTTCCCATAATATAAAGAGACAAGTTCATGCTGACAATGTGTCAAATAAGACTGAACAGTGACAAGGATACTCAGTGACTGCAAAAATAACTAAAGATCCCTCTCTTCTGCAGAACTTGAGTGATGACTGCTTCTTTACAAGTGAATCCCCACCCTCACTTTAATCTTCCCACCTCCTAGGTAAAAATTATTGATATATGTAATCATTAATTGTACCCACTTACAGACCACCCAGTGTAGAACTAACTCTTTCTCAAATCCTCCTTAGAATCATCAAGCAAAATATGTGCCATTATAAGCCCATTCCAACTCTCTCTTATCTTAGCACAACAACCCACAGTTCCTCTAGAGTGCATTCTCCATGCTCAGTAAACCTAACTTACTTCATTATAGGTATGTTCTTGATGGTCTCTGGTTCAAGGTCAGGCACTTGACTTAATGTGGTAAATTAGATACTCCTCCCTGGCATTTGAATGAGAGACAAACCAGGAGTGGTGTTCAGACCAAACTTGCTGTGCTGCCAGACCACTCATGTGATTGCTGTTTCCTGGTCCTCTAGACCTTCCCATTTCTAGCCTTGGGCTTTAGCTTCCCCATGAATGCAGTAGCATCCTTTACTTCATTGAGCCAGAATCCTTTTCTCTCTTGCTTATTAGTAAAGAGCAAGACATATACAAAAATATTGTCTAAATAATGTCATTCTCTTATGTATCCCTCTCTGAAACTGGGGGTGGGGATCCTCAGGTGCCTAGAGAGTTATTCCATACTATGGGAAAGAAATGGCTGTGGAATCTTACCCTAACTTGGAGAATATATTCTCTTGTTTTGACTCTGTGATCACTTACAACCACTGACTATTAAAAAGCTTCCCATGGCTTTGAGGACAAGGTATCTCATTATCAAGCACCATATCTTTATCACCCAGAAACGGTATCTGCCATTTGTAAATGAATGTCTCAGCACCATGGTTTATACCACAATGGAGAATGGTTAACATGAGATGGTTGCTCTGTGCCTGAACACAATGTGTTCTCTGAGAAAATCAAGGTATCATCTCTGCAAACTCACAGGTCAGACAGGCTCTGGCTGACCCACCAAGGAACTTGGTCCCATTAGGCCCTGCCAGAGTAACCTGTTGGCCACTCTCCATGATTTTTTTCTATCTGTGACAACTGTCATAAGCTACTTCAACTTAAAGTCAACCTCCCAAACAAGTCTTAAGCTTCTTACACTGGGTCTTGCTCAAATGTACTTTTTAGTAGGGTGATGTGATCCAAAGGAATTTCATGCTAATAAAGAAGGATCAGCAGAGATTATACAGGGGTTTGTCTCTTCTTTCTGATGGCAGTTAAGCTGTCAGGCCTACCTATGTTTAGAATCCTTAGTTGCACTCCTAAGCCAAATGTACCTACCTATTCCCTTTAGAATCACTTCAGAATATTCTTGGAGATATTTTGCTTGCAACAAAAAGAATTTTACTCAAAATTGGTAAAATATATAAGTACAAGACTGGCTGTAAATAGGTGTTCTGGGACCAACTCCAATGTGCACGTGTCTCAGACACACCAGAAGGGTGTCTGAGAATTCAGATTAATCCATCTCAATTCTGACATTGTCTACCCAAAGACAGCATCAGATTCCAGGGGTTAAGGGCCTACTCCACTCTCCACTTCAGATGCTAGTCCCAAGCCCAGGTTGTTACCTGTGCTTCTGACTGACTGGCTACAAATCAGAGGTTTTTAGAAGACCCAGTTCCTCCTCCTCAGGTTTGATTAATTTGATAGTGTGGCTCAGAACTTAGACAAATGTTTTACTTACTAGATTACCAGTTTAGTATAAAGGGATATAATGCAGGAACAGCCAGATTGAAGATATGCATAGGGCAGGGTATAAACAAATGACACAGATCTTCCATGCCCTCTCTAGGCACTCTACTCTCCCCAGTCTCCATGTGTTCACTAACCAGAAAGGCCTCTGGACACCATCTTTTGGGGGGTTTATGGAGGTTTCATTATATAGGCAGGACTGATGAAATCTACTGGCCATTGGTGATTCAGTCAATCTCCAGGCCCTCTCCCTTCCCTGGTGGTCAGAGAGTAGGACTGAAAATTCCAACCCTTTAATCACACAGTTGACTCCATTGATAACAAGCCCCCATCCTAAGGTGCTTTCTGAAAGCCATCTCAATAATATAACAAAAGATACCTTTATCACTCCCAACACTTAGGAAATTTCAAGGGTTTGAGGAGCTTTGAGCCAGGAACCATGGATGAAGATTAACTATATATGAGGAATACATTCTGGTCATCTGAATGACCACATATATACATTTCTTATAAATCACAATATCGCAACCTGAGTGTGACTCATGACTCCAGGACTACTAGCATAACTTTGGGCAAATTACTTACCTTCTCTGTGCTTCACTTTCCTTACCTGAAAATGGGAATAATAGTAAGACCTACCTTAGAGAGATGCTATAAAGTTTAAACACATTCATACATGTAAATTACTTGAAACAGATAGCTACCCACCACTTAATAAGCAACGTATAACTGTCAGCTATTATTTCAGAAGAGTTTTAGAAAGGTTGTTTTACTGTCTGAGAGTAATGTTTGTGAACTACAGAATTTCTCCAGTTTTGACTGTTTCTTTGAAAATAATGAGAATTCAGGGGATAAACACACTTAAACATCAGTGGGTTTTGATCTGATTAGTTTATATATGAAAATTTATATTTGAAAAGATACTGGGTTCCCATCGTATAAAATTTAGTTTAACTCTGTTTTGAAATGTTATTACCCTCTTCCCTCCACATACATGCACCAACATGTAAACTCCACCAGGGCTGGAATGTTTGCCTGCTTCATCAGTGCTATATCTCCACCTAGGATGGTGCTTTGGGACTTTTGGGACATACTAGATGCTTGATAAACATTTGTAAATTCAAATTAAATTGAAATACTGAACAATTGCTTTTGACTTACTGAATACTAGAAACTTTGAAATGGTTTTGGTCAGAATTATTTGAATTTTCACAAGACCTGACTATATTTGGCAAAGTAGTTCACAAGTGACAGGCAAAGCAGCCAGCATTGTAAAGAGAAATTCTATAGGTTGCAAATACTTTACAAATTTTCTGCTGAACATTTTTAATGTACACTTCTCATGAAAATTCAGCTTTATTTGAACTCTTGTGCCTTTATCCAATTATTTCTTCCTTTAGTCTGTGTCATACTGTCTGATTTTTCATCTGTTCTGAGGATGTGCCTCTTCCCCTTGAGCATTTTCTCAGGGGGAGGAGAAATACTACTGAGCATTTTCTCACCATGAAAAATAAGGAGCATAACACAGAACTTGATAAAGCAGTTTTCTACCAATTTCCCTCCTACTGGGAAGAACATGTAGATTAGGGGAAGTCCTCCAAACCTGTGCTGTCCAATAGGATAGTCACCAGTCACATACAGTTTTTAAGTTAATTAAAATGAAATAAAACTGCTCCTCAGTCACACTAGACTCATTGCAAATGTTCAGTAGTCACATGAGGCTAGTGGCTACTATATTAGACAGCATAGATCATAAAACATATCTATCGCCATACACAGTTCTATTGGAAGGTACTGCTCTTAAAAAAATCACGTTTCTGTCTGGAAACCAGCAGCACTGAGATTCTTAAATCATTGTGTTCCCATAAACCAAAGAGGAAAAAACTCTTTAAGAACAGGGCCTGAGTTGATATGACTGAACCTGCAGGACCCCTCAAATTCCCTCACTTGGATAGAGGTCCTTAATGTTTTTGGTGATGTTCTGGCTCCCAAACTAGACTCTCTGGCCCCAAAAGCAAGTATTAAGAATGACCAAGAATGTCCCTTATCCCAAGGGACTAGAATTGAATTACAGAGCTCCATGGAGTCCCAAGTGCTGATAATGCCATGCTGGATACTTACTGGGTCAAGCATGAAGAGGTCCACTCCTTGCCCAGTGGACAGAGCCACCAAGGTTGCACTGCCATAGAGTGCATAGCCTGCGGCCACAATATCTCGACCTGGCTGCAGGGCATCCTTTTCAGAAGGCTCGTCCTCTGTAGTCTGAGGAAGAGGAGAGAAACATGGTGCATTATTGTCTCTGGAGAGAACCCTTGCCAAGGAGTGGGCTTCTTAACTCTCTTGAAGAATCACTTTTAAAGGTAAAATAATAATTTGTATTGTTATGGGACTTTATATCTGTCAAAGTGTTTTCACATTATATGTGTGAAACAATGGAAAGGCTCAGAACTGCTCATTTAAAGGAGAGGGGATGGAGGTCATAGAGGTATTCACACAACATCATGAAGCCAGTGAGTGATGAAGCTGGGGCTGGACCCACGTCTTCGGTGGCAAAGCCATGGTCATTCTCAAAAAATTATGGAGCATGGGGCCAGTTTGTCATCTGCTAGTAAAATCCTAACAACTTTGTCTTAAAACCAAATCTTATCCTTCTTTAAGGATTTCTTTGAAGCATCATTTTACCTATAATGCTTTTATTATTTTAGTACTTTTCTAGAGCTACAAGTTAATTCAATTAAAAATGGCACATTCCCAATTAAAAAAATGGGCAAATGCCTGAACAGACACTTCTCCTAGGAGAACATACACAGGGCTCAGAGACATATGAAAAGATGCTCAGCATCACTAGCCTTCAGAAAGATGCAAATTAAAAACAATGAGATACCACTTCACATCAGTGAGAATGGCCATCATAAACAAAACAAAAAACAGCAAGTGTTGAAGAGGATATGAAGAAAAGGGAACCCTAGTGCACTGTTGGTGGGAATGCAGACAGTGAAGCCACTGTGGAAAACAGTATGGAATTTCTTCAGAAAACTAAAAATGGAACTGCCTTTTGACCCAGCAATTCCACTGCTGGGATTATACCCTAAGAATCCTGGAACACCACTCCATAAGAACCTAGGCACCCCAATGTTCATAGCAGCTCAATTTACAACAGCCAAGTGCTGAAAGCAACCTAGGTGCCCATCAGTAAATGAATGGATCAAAAAACTATGGTACATTTACACAATGGAATACTACACAGCAGAGAGAAAGAAGGAGCTCCTACCCTTTGCAACAGCATGAGTGGAACTGGAGAGCGTTATGCTAAGTGAAATAAGCCAGGCAGTGAAAGACAAATACAATATGATCCCACCTTTAACTAGAACCTAATCAATGAAAGAAAAAAGCAAGCAAAATGTAACCAGAGACATTGAAATTAAGAACAATCTGACAGTAACCAGAGGGGAGGTGGGAGGGAATAATGGGAGAAAACAGGGAAGGGTTTTCAAAAACAACTATAAAGGACACAGGGAAAAAAATAAAGAGGGGTTTGGAATCAGGGGAGACAGATGCGGATGGCTGAGGTGCAGGGGGAATAGTGTGGGGAAAGTGCAGACAAATGTACTTGAACAACAATAAAATAAGGCACATTTCTTTCAGTCTTTTTCCTTACAGTTTTGCACTCTTTCTAACACATTTTTTTACAACTAGGTTATATTGACACTTGACTTGTGTGTATGCACTCAATAACTGGCTTTATTTCCAGATTCCCAGACCACATACAGATTCTGAGAAGCAGGCCCCAGCAATTCTAGTTGGATATGCATATTCTTGGGCTATGCCCCAGACCTCCAGAATCAGAAATGCTGGGCCTTCAGAATCAGCCCTCCTGGTAATTCTGATGCACACAAAAATTTTAGAGCCACTGCTCTAAAACATGTTCTTTTTAGAACCTTCAGGGAAGTAGAAGGCAAAGATAGTATCAGGTTTTTTAATGAAAATCTGTAGTCATCCCCATTGAATCTTTTAAAACACCTCTGTTCAGCCCTGGCTGGTGTGGCTCAGTGGACTGAGTACTGGCCTGTGTACCAAAGAGTCACCACTCAGATTCCCCATCAGGGCACATGCCTGGGTTGAGTGCCAGGTCCCTAGTAGGAGGCACACGAGAGGCAACCAGACATTGATGTTTCTCTCCCTCTCTTTCTCCCTCCCTTCCCCTTTGTCTAAAAATAAATAAGTAAAAAATTTTTAAAACATTAAAACACTTTGTTCAGTCATCAAAAGGATTGCATTTTCTGTATAGGAAACCAGAATTCTCCCACATCAGAGATTTTCCTTTCTCTGAGCTATGATTTTGCAGCCTGTGGTGAGCATAGCACCCTCTCCTTGGTTTTTGGGAACTTGCACTGTGGCTTGAAGAGAATCCCTTCTGCCCAACTCCTTCTACTGGCCTTTAATTACTCCTAGAATCCCTGGCCTTAAAAAATAACAAGAAATACTTTCTAGATACCACAACTTCCCTCCAGCTACTGCCCTATCTCTCTCTTTATCAACATCCTGGAGCATCAGTGGTCTCCAATCTTTCTGGCACCAGGCTCAAGTCAGCTGAGCTCACTCATCCACTGGTGGGGGATGGGGCGGAACCTGGGGATAGGAGGCGGAGCTCAGGCAAGCTTCTCTTAAGGACAGGGGACCCCTGGAGTCTTGGATGCCTGTCTACACTATCTTACTTCTCCTGTCTTCACTGCAGGCTGCCAGATGTGACCCTACTACTAAATCTGGTGCACTTTTGCCAGTCTTTCTCCTACCTGCCCTCTAGGCAGTGTTGGATCCCTTCATTGGCTATTGCTTTCTTCTCAAGATGCATCTCTCCAGAGCTTCTCTCCATTTCGCTCTAGTCTGGATTTCTAACTCTCTACATGTGCCTTTTCATTTGCTTTTTTTAGCTCCTCTTCTTAAATGTTGGTGCTCTTCCTGATTCCTTCCCAGCCTTTGAGTGTTTACCCAGTGCAAAATGTACCTTCTCCATCGCCACTCTACCCATAGCAGGGACTCTCAGCTGCTATGTTTGTGTTATGAGTCCCAAACTCTCCCAACAGTGTAATGGGATCTGGGATGCATTCCTGACCCAAATTGGCCCAGCCAGAGTTTCTGCTCCAGAAATCTATATTTGGGGCTAGAACATTCTGGTTGATGGAAACTTGGAAGCTGTGGGCTGACCATCTTTCTTCTGTCATTGGCCAAAGAATCAGAGGAAAAACCAAACTGGTCTTCAGAAAGGGGAAGGAGTACAGTAGCCACAGGAAGTCAAGATGAGAGACTTGGATGGAAAAAACTCTCCCTGACCCAGGCCCTCTCTGAGGCTGGCCATATGTCTGTCTTAGGGCTTGCTGATTCATTCCTGCCATTTATACCAGAGTCCTGACCAAGAAAGCTCTCTTCTCTTCTCATTCTACACACTCCTCAGCAATCTCACCCACAACCAAAGTTTCAAACTTTACTCAGGTGTCAATGCCTCCCACACCTCCATCTACATCTCTTCTGATGGTTCAACTCTGGGAGCCACCTGACCACCAGACATCCTTATTCAGGTACCCCACCAATGCCTCAAGCTAAACATGTCAAAGATGGAATTCATCTGCCGTCTTACCTCCCAAATTTTCTGCTCTCCTCATATTGCTCCCCATATGAGCAAACAGCACCATCATCTGACCAGTAGAAACCTAGGAATCACCCTTCCCTTCATTTCCCTAACCACGACCTCCACTCAGTCACTAAGTCCAGTCACTTCTACAACCCACTCTTCCAAGCCCTCCTGTCTATCTTTACCACTACACCTCAGTCCGAGGCACCATCACCTCCTGCCTGGTCCTCCCAGTCTGCCCTTTCCCCACTCAGGTCCATGTCAATGCTCTGTTTAAAACACTTCATTGATTTCCCACAGACTTGATGTCCAATATTCTTAACTCATTTTACCAGGTGTTCCATAATCTGACCCCCTGCTGATTGTACAAGACTTGTTCAACATCTTTGCCCCCGCTGCTAAGCCTTATGTGTCTTATGTTGCAGCTTCAATGAACTTCTTTATCTTTTCTTAAATATTTACCTTGCATCTGAGCTGTAGACCTCTGCTTAAGCCCTTCTTTCTAGCCAGAAGGCTTTCTCCTTTTCCTCTCACCATTTACCTGAGGAACTCATAGTTATCTTTCAAGTCTCAAATGAAACATCAGCTTCTATGTGGCAGCCTTCCCTGACTTTCCAGGTACTCAGTGCTTCTCCTCTGAAGCTCTCAACACATTTATTAGTGTGTTTAAGGTCTGACTTCCTAAATAGACTGTCAGCTCCACGATGGCAAGTGCTGACTGTCTTGTTCATGTCTTCTTTCGTACCACTTACTACAATCTGGCTCATGGTTGCTGCATTCAACTGATATGCACACACATACACATTCTTGTAAATTTATACACACTTACATACATCTATATGCATGCATACGTACTTGTCCATGAGCATGCTGGATTGTCAATTGCATGGGTCCCCCCAAATTTAGTCAACCTCTGTTTTTAAAGTTTAGCTTTTTTTCTACTTTTTAAAACATTTTATTTAAAATATATAGGGTAGGGCAAAAGGAGGTTTATAGTTGTAAGTACATGAAGCATGAAGTTCATTTTTGTATTGTTATTTATTAATTATTGTATCATTTTCCATATGAACAACTGTAAACTTATTTTGGCCCTACCTTGCTATATAGATTCAAAGGAAGTTGTGCAGGTAGTACAGAGAGAACCCATGCACCTTTCACCCAGTTTCCCCCAATACTTACATCTTCTATACCTTTATGTATATATATGTTATAGTACAATATCAAAACCAAGAAAGTGACATTGTATTAAGTGTGTGTATAGCTCTATGCCATTTTATCATGTGTAGATTTATTTATCCACCAACACTTCAAGATACAAAACTACTCCATCACCACAGGTATCTCCCTAGTGCTACTTCTTTGCAGTCACACCCACCCTTTTTCCCACTACCCTGACCCCTGACAATCACTGATTGTTTGGAGTTTTATACTGTTAAATTTTGAGAGTTTTTAAATATTCCTGATATATGTCCTTTGTTAGACTTGTGACTTGAAAATATTTTTCTCATTTTGTATTTGTAAGCTCATCTTAAAACAGTTCTTTACAGAGCTAAAGTTTTCAATTTTGATGAAGTTCAATTTGAATTTTATGTATCATGCTTTTGGTGTCATGTCTAAGAACTCTGCACCAAGC